GTGTTTGCGGTCACGTCCAGCGGGTGTGTGGGCGGGAGCGTTACACAGTCGCTCCACCTCAAGGCAGCCTCCACAAGCGGGGTATTTTGGCTTCATTTTTGCACAATGGTAGGAGGCGGGGTCGCGTCGTCCATGTTTTCTACAGTCCATGGTATCAACATGAAGCACTGACTTAATTCTCTAAAACTGACCCATTCAGAGTTGACATGACAGCTGCAGGGTGCTGGTGCTCATGCACTGGTGTCAGGCTGTCGTGGATTTACTGTGAAATTTTACATTTTGTTAAATCTCATTTTCCTTCTTCTTCCATCCTCCTGTTTAGCTGATCGCTCTTGGTTCTTCTTCGTTAGTATGAAGTGCAGTCTTACCAGATGATAGAGTCAATACTGCCCCCGTAGCTTCCTTTAGTGTATTGCAGTTGCAAAAACACATTTATGTGGTATTAGTATATGATGCGATGACAATAAAGTTCCACTTTGACAAATTTTTATAGGCGATGTCATTGAGTATAGCGACAAATTGTTGCAGCCCTAGTGCACACCCAAAGAGAGAATATATATTATTTGTGTCCAAAAGTTGATTCTGTTCATCTGGTCGTCCAGATGAAGTGTCCAGGCTTTTCGAACATAGAATTATCACTCTACACACATCCTTTATTGACAGGTATGCACATTTCTAGCTATTAGGTTGTTGCACTGAGTACTCCCTAGTGATGCCTAAAAGAGAGATCTGAGGAGCTGTCTGGATTGTCATGTAACACAGCTGAGGTGAAAGTATGAACAGAGGAGGAGACCTGTGTGCTAATCCCACAATCAACGGTGTCTCCACGGAGGGGTTTAGCATAAAAGCAACAGCTGCAGTGCTGCATTGGTCACCCAACAAAAACCCCAGGTCATCTGGCAGAGGTTTAATCAGCACCCAAAACACAGCAGTTCAATTGAGCAGATTAAAGTCAGTGTTTCCTTTCTTTTCCCTTTCCCCTGTACATTTTGAATGTCTTTCATACCCATATGTTCAAGGTTGAAATTGCATATGAAGCACTAGGTAGGTTCTAAAGTCTCTGATATAATGAGAGAAACAAAACACGTTAAATCTCTATCGACTTTATTTGTCACTCAAGACTCTCTTCAGACAGTCTTTCAAGGGCCATGAAGCAGTTCTAATGTGAAAATTAAAGATTTTCTGTGTGAACACATGTTTTAACTGAAATCTCTGATTACTATAATGGAGTAAGACTTTGTAATTCTAGCTGTCTAAATGGCTGCATTAAATTACAGAGGAGAAAGGTAAATGTCTACCCAAACACTGAGTCTGACATAATTCTATGTCTACCAAATGGATCAAACTGTATAAACAATAGCCAAGATACCAATTACAGTATAACTTGGCACTTACTGCTGTCTACTGTCAGTGGCAGTGTGGCTCAGGAAAAGGGGAATTAATGTATAATTCATGTACAAATAAACCTTTCAGTGCAAAGACAAATTTGTACCAGCATCACTATTCTAAAAGACTGACACAATGGGTACATGGACCTCCCTCGTGTGTGTGCCTTCAGACACTTTCCCCTGCCTTTTCAATTATAATGACTTCGGAACTAGCGCTGCAGTGGATGTCATAATATCTCAGTGACTCATCTCCTCTCTGTGGTCTTGTGTAAATAAGGCTTGTTTTGGGACAAAATACAACTTTATTGACTCCTTGGTGTTGTGTTTGCAATTATGATCAGTTTGCAGGTTTGTTTGTTTTTTTGTCTTTTAATAATTGTCATTTAAATCCTTAAATGTATTATACTCAAAAAATTTTATACAGAAATTTTGTATCTCTTTCACCATTAAGTCTTGGCTATACTCTGTTGTGAACATGGACAACTAAAGACCTAGTTGCCATGAAGCCATTCCTTGTATACTTCTTTGAAGCCCTCTGCCTGGGGGCAATGGATAATTGATTTCTTGTACAGTAAATTCTACACCGATAACACTGCACAGTCACAATAAACCTCACCATCCTATCAAAATTTATGTCACTCAGGCCCAAGTAGACCCTAGCGGACACAGAAAGCATAATTGAGGCTTTAGAGTAAAATCTGCCTAACCTAGAAAGGTTGATGGACTGACATGACATATTTTTGTAGACTGATGATTCCTGGAGTATAAATCATGATGATTTGGATTACACAGAGACCATCCATCATGACCATTCCCCACTAGTGTAAATATCAATCTATTCGAGTTGTTCTTGGAAATTAAATAATTTTGCATATATATTTTAATGAAAATTCTGTTTTTTCCCAATCCTGCCGGTCAAGAAATCCCAAAAAAAAAAAACAAAAAAACCTTCCGCAAAAAACCACACATATCCAAAAGGCACAGAGAAAACAAAAACAGCAGAACACAAAAACAAAAATAAAAAAAAAAAACTATAAGAGGACAAAAACGTCTCGAGAGCTAGACCCCACAACAAGCACAGCACAAAATAAAAAACAGTGTGTTTAAATAAAAAACAGGAAACAGAAAAAGTCCAAGTGGACCAATCACACATTCACAAATGACCAATTAGCATTTAGGAATTCCTAAATGCCATGCTATCATATTATGGAGCCCTGTCCAAAAGTGCTTATGTCCAATGTGCATATGTTTTTAAGTGATCAAGATTAAGCAGTTCAGGGTGGCAACTGGGAAACCAGTGATAGAGACAGTGAGGATAGGCCAAGATGCCAGTAACGGAGACCTTCAACTGACAAAAACAACCTGGTGGCATGACCAGAGGCTGCTGTGGGTGACAAGGACTCTCTGGTGGTGTGGCCAGTGGCTGGTGTTGTCAGAGGACATGCTACCCCTCAGGAAACTGGCTTTGGTGGGGAAGACAATAGCGAGAGAGCTATGCTAGTGTTAGCATAGGGTCGAACATAAACAGCCATAATTAGCACAAATGTTAGCTTCCGCTTTAGAAAAAGGTAGTGATTTAGCAGAAATGGACTCTGGAGCACACCCTCAGTGTTTCACATTAGTTGTCACTGTTTACAGTACTATAAATTAGTGTTTACTACTTATTACAAATGGTGGGATGCTAGAATTATTGATCATTTTAAAAAAAAAATAGGATTTCTCCTTTTGCTTTTTTAACTTGACTATTCTTTTCTCTGCTTACCATAGTTGTCAGTTGCAAGCTTCTGAATAGTTAGAGCTCATGAAATGTAACCCCCACCACATGAATAGAATCAGAAATGTAAGAGGCTGTGTGATTACAGTGCTGCTTAGGACAAAAGGGGACGTGCATCAGGCATTGTAATGAGTCTCATCACCAGAAAAGGCGCAGCATGGGGGACAAGGCACAGTAGAAATCACAGTTTAGAGCCAAAGACAGATTCAATTCCCTTACCCTGTGTAATTACTGTGGATCAGGCTTTATCAGTGGCAGACATCAGCCTTGGGATCTGTGTGAAAATGAGCAAAGAAATGTTCAAGGGAAGTGAGAGGAGGATGGAGAGAGCACTCTAAAAAAAAAAAAACACTGGCAAATGCTGTAAGAGAGATTATCAGGTGCGCGTCAAATATCGTGCTTCAAACAGTGGATAGGTAAGCCCTAAGAATTAACTACAGGCTGGATATTCCAAAGGTCCTTATCTTGTGTCATATAGCTTTTCTCAGAAGGACTGCTTTGATTGTAAGCTAAGGGCTATCCAATGGCTTATTTTTTTTTACATTTTATTTTTAGAGCTGATGAGATACAGTGGATCAAAGGATTACGAGAAACATAGTTTAAAGCAGTGTACTTCTAAGAGATTTTTGATAATATTCCCTTGCTCACATTAATATAATATTGGATAGCTACTAATTCCCACCAAAAGGGATACTTAACAAATTATCAAATGTGATTATCCAGTACCCTGATATGTCCATACAATAATACCAAAACACCTAATTAGTCATGCTGTATTTGTGGCCTTTATATACCACTTCCACGGGAGCTAATTGGCTGTTTCAGTTGTGTAAGACCACTCACAGTAGGGGCACAGGAAAGGGGAGTGGCCAGGATTTTCACTAGGAGGCAATATGAAAAACACTGAATCAGCATATTTACTCCAACCTCACTCTTCATTATTCTCCCCCTAGCACATAGAAGAAGGTGAATTCAAAGCATTTTGCAGCAGACAAATTAATGCAGTAATGAATATTGCATTTTCCAGGCGTTAGATCCTACACGTGTTATCCAAGAAAACCTTTTGTGGTATTCAATACTGTTGCATTGTAGGAAGAAAATCTAACTCAGGGTTAACCTTCATACAAATTATAATGTAAGATTAACAACTGTAAACTGATATCCTATTTAAGGGTCACATAAAAATGCTAAGAGAACAAGAAAATTTGCTTCTAAGAATCTGTATTTCTTAATGATGCTCATCAGAGCAACACAAAGATTTAGACCCGATTACTATCAATCCACCGAGGGCAACAGACTCTTTCACTTGTGGTAATGCTGTTTTAAGGAGAATAGATTTCACACCTGGGGATCTCTTTTCTGGGGCAAAATCTGCTCCACAGACATTTAGAGAATAAACTCTGGTCAGAAGCAAACCTCTGAAAACCCTGAAAACCTTGAGTTAACCCGAGGTTTGTTAAGCCTCAGATCCTACTTTATGCTTCAGGCCTCGGGTCTATTTTCAAGACATGTATGAAGAGAAACTTAATGCCAAAATGCCATGCAGGCTAAATCTTTGTCGAGTTGCAGAAGGCAGTGTATATCATTATTATTTTTAATGTCTGTTCTTCATCCAGAAAATAAATGCTGAATTATTTTTAACAATATGTCATTTTAAGATATATATACTGTATATATATATATATATATAAAGAAAAATAATATAACATAAAGAAAAAGTTAGAAGCTAATTAGAAGCTAGAATAATTATGATGATGAAGTTTAACTGTAATACCTGTAGTTCCTTTTCACCTCAAGTTATATCGATGAGTGGCTTAAGACTGTACTTAGACAACAAGAAATTAGATTAGACGATCCTAAAATAAATTTTTATCCATATTCAATATGCAATCTGTTCCCAAATTGTCTTTGGGAGCAGATTGAATTGTATCTGTATTGTGTCAACATATCTACTGTTTCTTTCTTTGAGTTGTTTTCCTACAACATATCTGGAATGGTAAATCATATATTCTCATTATATTCTTTGCAACCAAACACCTTCAGCTGCAGGAAAGCATCAAATGAAACCAAGTAAAATCTGCATGGCAGCGAATGAAACAGACATACTAAACACAGTCCCCGTATTCTATTACAATAATGTGTATCATTGTG